TTACGTCAAACCACGTTACTAGAAGTCGTGTTTTGTAGGAAGGTTGTATTACGACAAACAATATTGACCGGAGACCGGTTAAACTACAACGTTTATGCCCTGGTAGCAGTGCAGCTTACATATAACGCACGCAAAGAAAGGTGCCGCAAATAAGGCGTTTCAGGTCCAATGGAAACAATGCGGCATACTAACTATATTTATACTTATATTGTTTGTATAGCCATGTTCGATGCCATCGGCAAGACTTTTTTTTACAGAATATGATTCACATTATAACATTTTTGGCCCCTCCCCCGAGTTCAGGGTGTGGTGAACATTGACTCTTTGGATTACGTCTTTTTCTTCTTACAAACTTATTTAAATGATGGTGGTTTCTAAAAGTGATTGGGAATTTTACATATGACGAAAATCTAACTAACAAAAACAAAACTTTCCTGTGCACCTCTGTCAGAGTCTATACACAGACAGTGTACAGAACAGCGAAGGCGTGCTAGACATTACCTATGGGTCGAATATTCTGACAGACGTGAGATTTTTTTCACCATGCAGACTCGATAAGTATCAAACTGAATTAATCACATAAGCGTACACATAAGCGTGAAGGTGAACGTTTCGAAGAATCCGGTTATTTACTTGCTGGCTGAATCAAACACGTTTAGTTGTGATTAGAAAGATTGAGCATTTTCCGCATTCATCAAAAACATAACTATTTGTCGACTTGGTTGCCACAGCTATGAAAATATTTACATGCTTTGTGTTGACAATCATATTGTCTGAAAACCCAAATTTTAGCACTTAAAATGATAGTTGGCAAAATCTTGGAGTTAAAAAGTCTAAAGAATACATCAGCGGTCAAAGGGCTTATTTCACTAATGGTTCATGATAGCAAACATTTTCTATTGTTGTGATAAGAACCTTCATTGCTGATGGCCAATTCAGTCTACAAAAAAGTACAACTTCAATATATATATAATATTTGTTACGTGAAGTTACTTCTACGAGTTCACCATTTTATAACCATTTTTCCGACAGAGAGACATGTTACTACCAGCATTAACCTTTTCACCGCCAGTTTCCTCTCTCATCACAAATTCACAAAATACAAGTAGTCTCGTTTATAGTCTGCACTTCCATTCGGAAGATTGGGACAAAAATTGCCAAATTTTTTGAGTAAAAACTGAAAATTTACTGAAACTTCGTCTTTTGGCTCCAAAATTAGAATTCCTGTCCAGAAATATTAAAGAATATAGGAAAAAAATGCAAAAAAAAAAATTGTTGACGAGAAAATCTGGTGGTGAAAAAGTTAAAGACCACGGTTTTCGTGTTTTTTTTTTTCATATTGACTCTATTTTTTCACTTCTCACAACATAAATAGTATGTAGTACACCCTGCAGCAGTGCAAACACAAGATTTATAAATCACAATCTTAAAAATAACCGTATATTATATATACCATATCCCATTCCGCTTTGGAGAAATCTGAAATTCCAGTTAATTCCCATGGCACCATTTTGTCGACGTCATGGCAAGATCATATTAAAAGCACTAAAATATTCAAAACATATTGGGAATGTGCAATAGTGGCAGCTGGGTTCGATAATACAAGAACTATTTCAATCTCTGAATGACGACCAGAATTAATCTGAATACTAGTATACAAAGAGTATACAAGATTCATAAGCGAAATCTACCAGCATGAAGGAAAATACAACTTTCTGGCGCTATGCGTCACTACACACTATATACCGATGCCGGCAATTTCACAAAAGAAGAATTAATTATTTCTTTTTGTAAAACAAGAAAGAAGTCCCGGGCCGACTTTGCCAGTCTAGGGAGAGTGGTTTGCGCCGTGTGACCGTTCTCTGTGGCGGCGCAAGTCCTAAACTTGTGGAATTTCCTAGAAAAATGCTCGAACTTTTTATTAGTACTATGTAGTCCAACTTGATTCTCACGCAAAAAAAAAAATGAAAATGATTATTTTAAATTGTTGACGGCGATAGCCGCTGGAACTGATTTTCGTGATTGCAACATGAAAGTACGACAAAAAAAAAAAATCACTTTTGAAATTAGCAACAATTTTAGCATGTTGCCATACAAAACACGACTTTGCCAATCGACATTGTTAATCACGGCGCCATGACACAACCGGCAAATACTGACCTAATACTGAAATTTTAAAGGTTATTGCACCGCCAATTAAAATGTCTGTATTCCATTTCAGTTCACCCATACATACCACCCCATCCACCCAAGTATATTAATGTTCTGCGAATAAAATCAACCTATTCACCGCATAACTGACGCATCCATTTCCTGGAAATGCACTACTAGGAATCAGATAGTATGAACTTAATACGGTCAATGCAAAATTAGATTAATTTTACGTCCGAATAAATTATGGTGAAAATAGTACGAATAGAAAAAATAACATATTATTTGTACGATATCATATATTACCCACCATATGTTAACTATAAATAACAGCGAAAATGTAAATTCATGTGTGCACTCAATAATCTGAATAATAAATAACAATACTGATATTAATCCATGGTTGCCTAGAAACTCGTGATCTGAACTCAATATCAACGGGTCATTACGCTTTCAGCTCTGTTACGTATAAAATGGCGTCCAGTTTTTCTTCCATCAAATCGCAAATCAAGGAGGACATGCTATCGTGTCCTATGTGTTTTGAAGTATACAACAATCCGAAAGTCCTGCAATGTCTACACTGCTTCTGTCAGCGATGCTTGGAGGGATGGGCGAGACAGAATCCCGGTAAGCCCATGTCGTGCCCGACTTGTAGATTTGAAAGCCCAGTCAACAGCCTGGCTGATATTCGTGCTCTGCCGACCAACTTTATACTGAATGGTCTGGTCGACTACATCGAAACGATGAAGGAAGTGAAACAATTCGAAGGGCAGTGTGGTGGGTGTGGGACGGGAAAGGCCGCCACCAGGTGCATTGATTGCAGTCAGAATCTTTGCCAACCGTGTACAAGTACTCACAGGAATTTGAAGGTAACACAACAGCACAAAGTGGTGGAGTTAGGGAAGTACTTCCGGGAGACAGAAATACCACAGCCTACAGTGTATTGTCACAACCATGAGCAAAGTCCAGTTGAGGTCTACTGCAAAGTATGTCAGATACCAGTCTGCACAAAATGCGCCCTCGTCGAGCATCGACAGCACGAGCAGCAATACTTAGAAGGCGCCACCGAGGAGGAGAAAAAACGTCTCGATCCACAGATCCTACTACTGAAGGAATATGTCGTTAATAACGACCAGAAAGCGACAATCATCACAGATGAACTTGACGTACTACGGGAAGCACGTGACCGTGCTGAAAAAGAGATTGACGACCATACACAGAAATTAATTAGTACCATTCTGAATAAACAGGAAGAAATGAAAAAAGAGTTAGGACAGGTATTCACTACCAATTCCGAAATGATGCAGTCTGAATTGAAAATGCTAGAAGAGAGTCGATCCTCTTTAGAAAGTGCTGTTGAGTTTGCCGAAAATATGATAAAGTACGCTAGCCCCGCACAGTACCTGAAGTCGCAGCAAGAGGTCAAGCAAAGGGTGACAGAGTTGATAGCTTTAGAAGGTAATCACAACCCAGAAGTCTTGAAATACCAAATGATGTATGTACCAAATAATTCTTATTTGAGAGGGACAATTGGTAGGATAAATTCAATCAAGCAACGCCAAAGAATTACAAGTGTGAATCGTTCGAGGGTTGCAGAATTTAGACAAAAGAAAAAAATATTAGCGAGAGCGATGCAAGATTTGAATAAGCCTCAAGTGGCTACACCTGCATTTGGTGCACCACGTCCCACAAGTAGGGAAAGATTGGTAACTGTTCGCAAAGGATTCAGTGGGATGCAAGCGAAGCCATGTATAGAAGCTAAAATCGGCCGTGTCCAGCATTCTGATAAGCTCTTTTATCGACCATGTGGCGTAGCTATGAATGAGAAAGGAGATCTTGTGGTAGCTGATTCAGACAACTGCAGAGTACAGATACTGAACTTACAGACACTGACAATGAAATCCAGCTTAGCCTTCGATAATTTTCCAACTCCTTTCAAGCCGTATGATATTGCCGTGCTGTCTGATGGCAGATATTTTGTAACCGATTCCGCTAACAACCAAGTTGTGGTCTGCAATGAGTTCAACCAACTAATTCTTACTTTTGGCCACTATGAAAGGCTTCAGCCCCGCGGGATTGCACTGACCTGGGATGGTCATGTACTGGTCACTGACGTCCAGCATGGTGCTTCCGGTGTAAAAAAGTATACGCTTGATGGCACGTTCGTTACTTGCTTTGGTAACACAACATTCCAAGGCCCAAGCGCAGTCGTCGTCAACAGTAAACAGCAGGTCATTGTATCCGATACCCAAGCTAATCGCGTCTGCGTGATGGATGTCTCCGGCAACTTGCTGCACTTCCTTACAGCGACTGATGGTGGTAAACTGGAATGTCCGAGCGGAGTGGACGTGGACGTACAAGACAACACATATGTCTGCGACCAAGGGAATAACCGAATAGTCAAGTACAACTGTAAAGGACAGTTTGTTACCAATGTAGGAGGGGCGTTGCTGAAGAAACCACTTGGGATATCCATCACCAAGGACAATATCGTGAAAATAGCTGTCACTGAAATCAATAATGAAACAGTTAAATTGTTAACTCTGTAGAAAGAGGATTCAAAACATGCTTTATTGCCTCTGAAACAGGTAGCTAAACAAATAGACAATAGATAGCAAATATATAATATCTGGTGTTCGGCTGGTCATAAAATATCTAGTCTTAACATATTTGTGTTTGGCATGTCTGGAAACTTGATAGCGATAGTGACAGCATGAATCAAAATATAAAAATTTATATTATATACAACACATAACCATATCGCCGTATTATATATTAAGAAGCTTATGAATTCTTAATGATATTTCATTTTTCAGTTATTAGATAGTTCCTGGATTAATGGTAACAGAAATAAGCAATCTATTTGCAATATATAAAAAAAATATGAAGGACTTTGTGTTGAGCTAACTTGATAAGCGTGTAATTGCCATCATATTATGGCATCGGTTATTTGATATTTGTATTGAATAATGTTATAATCACGTCACTTATGTACATTAAAGGTCGGTGGTCACCGTGCCACGTCCTGTTCGATATGGGACTCATAGCGACGTATGCAACGCGTGTAAAATACATTATTTGTTTACATGAACGACCACCACGCTTTAGTTATTTTGCACTTATCTGTTTGTTTTCACGCATGTTGCATCTTACAGTTTTATGTTTGAAGAGCCATGGTCGTCGTACATCTCATTTTCAAATTTCAGGTAAACAATGTATTTCACATGTGTTGTGTACGTTGCTATGACGATCACCGCTCTTTAACTTTATCAGTATGTAGTTCATAAATTAGTCTACGATGAAGATTGTTAACAAGAACAGGTTATTTATCATTTATATTTCAAGGCAACAATTCCACATTCAGTGTATTGAGCAAAACAATGAAAGAATTTTACTTTTTGTTATTTACTCGGTGTAGTTTTTACAAGGAGGCAATAAAGGTGTTGTTTGGTGCAAATTCTTTTACTGGGTCCTCTGAAATATAATTTATTTTTTTCTTTCAACAGAAGTAAATACTTTCGTGGTAATGAAGTAGTCTCTGGCATGTATTTAGTGTCATTGACGTTTTAAAATCAAAGACAAATCTGTGTGCTAAAGGTATTGGAAGCATGAAGTACAAATAAGGAATACCAGTACTGTATTATTACCTTGCCCGTAACATCAAAGATGGAAGGGAAAGGTATATTAAGTGAAAAATTTCTGTCCGGCGTTGTCGTTGTTGTCGTCGTTAATAATGTTATTGTGTGCACAATAACTTTTCCAATTCTATTCCAAACTTTATGAAACTTGAAAATATCATGCAAAAATTGAGAAAATCTGATAAAATATTTTGACTGTTCTACTTGACTGATCACTGGTGATACACATTCAAAGGTCATTGAGCTCAGTGGAAATATGCATTGTTGTCTGTGTTCAATGAAGCAAATCATTTATCTTCTAATAATATCCTTGGTAATGTATCTCCAAAATCCAATGGGAATACTTGACTGGGTTTCAAAACCAGCTCATGGAGAGATTTTTTGCACAGTCTGATACACATTTGCAAACCTGCCAAACCTACAATAAAATCTTTAACGAAAACAAGATGTCAGAAAATCAATATAAGCACTCCTATGAATTGGGTGCCAAACTTTGATCAAGATCTGAAGCTAATAGAAAATCTGTTTAGTCCAAAGTTATCAAATCAAAAACAATACATAAAAAATACATAAGCAAAAGTTGCATCCACATTTTGAAAACAAAATTGTACTCAAAAATAGGTATTCTGTATTTGACAAACAGTTCATTCGACAAATGAAAATTCACAGGAATTTGTTTCAGCTATTAGTAACAGAATAATAGAGCTTTTATAATAATAATTTAAAAACGCACTTTAAAAAAACAAAGAGTGCAATGTTTGAATATGTAGATTCTCAGGAGACAAAAGTACTGTTGACTTCTTCTCCGGAGGCAAAAGTACTGTTGACTTCTCTCTCACTGGACAACAACTAATTATTAGTCCCCGTCCGGACGAAGTCCGAAAACGGGTTCTTATAATTCGGTCTCTGTCTGTGCGTCCGTCCGGAGTCATATCACAGAATCCCTTGGACCGATTCCGTTCATTCTTTGCATGTGCCTAGTACTTTATGTTGGACATATGCACATGCAGTGGTTTAGCAGTTCGATTCAAAATGGCCAACTGGCAGCCATCTTGTTTTTTGAAAATGTCGTATTTTGGACATGCTTTGGCAGTTGTCATTCAAACTTGGTACATAGATTATACATGTTAGGATACATGTCCATGACGATTTATTTCGCAATTGGATCAAAGATGGTTGACTGGCAGCCATCTTTGATTTTGAAAATATCGTATTTTGGACATGCTTTGTGAGTTTTCATTCAAATTTAGTACATAGATCATACATGTTAGGATACATGTCCCCGACCGTCCGTGAGTCCGTCCATTCGTGCATCAGACTGTGGAGCGATTCCGTTCATTCTTTGCATGTGCCTAGTACCTTATGTGGGACATATGTACATGCAGTGCTTTAGCGATTCGATTCAAAATGGCCAACTGGCAGCCATCTTGTTTTTGAAAATGTTGTATTTTGGACATGCTTTGTCAGTTTTCATTCAAATTTGGCACATACATGTACTTTATACATGTTAGGATAAATGTCCATGATAATTTGTTTCAAAATCTGGTCAAGGATGGCCGATTGACAGCCATTTGACCTTACTACTATATTTCCACAATTTATGTACCATTTTCATTCGTATTTGGCACATACATCATACATATCAGTGTGTTTTATAATCAGATCAAAGATGGTCGAATAACGGCTGTTTTTATTGGCCATATTACAACTACATGGAACACATGTTTTGATGTAAATAAACAATCTGTTGAATACGCCACTTGGAACTCAAGTTTCAAGGACAGGCTCGTGACAACCCCTCCGCTTTAATATGACGAGCACAAAGAGAACTTTGAAAAATGGAACTGGGACTGTGTCATTTTCAATGACTTGTTTAAGTTGATTTGCATTACAAAGCAGAGCTTGCAACAGAATAGAGGCAGTTCATATTTGTCTCAGTGGATCATTAATTTTTGACAGACACCTGTACAAAATACTGGGGCAAAAGCCAGCTAAGATTTTCTGGTATCTTGCATGATTTATGAATCTATTCACATCTAAATGCATTTTTTTTATAATAAATCTGAATTACTTTGAATAAAGCTGGAAATTATGTCCCTTAAATGAATTAAATAAATTAGGCACCAATGTTTTTGTAAGATATTTACATCTATCAAGGACATTCGATAAACTGCTTTCCCACTGTTGTTTCAACCCCAAAACTTGTTTGTATTCAAAATTAATTATGACAATGCATATTCATATTGAAACAAACTGATAAAAGGAATAATATATAACAAAGGGCAAGGTCACCAGAGTTCAACTATGTTTAAATTATCTGCAGCAGTGGTTAATACAGTACAGTTATGCATATTAATTAGTTACATGGCCATTTGATATGTCATAATTCCTACCAAATGTCTCCATTATAGCACCAGTTTCATGTCCTTATTAGCAACAGTGCTGGAAATATTACACTTATGCATAATAATGAGGTCACATGAACCCATTTATACAAGGTTGGTAAATAATTTATATGGATTTTAACCCTGAAGTAATCAGATCTTTGGATTGAAATTTCATGAGATATCTGTGAGACATCTATAAATTGATTAATTTATACAAATTACCCCGGTAGGTAATTTGTAAGCATATATATATATATATATTATACCTATGGAACACTCCCTCAGTATGGAAAATACTGGTACATAGCATACATATATTTTCTCACGAAAAAATTTACCATTGCCGAAGGGCACTATTTCATTAAGCTCAAATAGTAACGCGGGATAGTCAAATTGTTGATGTAAATGTATATAGTTTTGGGCTTTATAAAACAGGTGCTCATAGCATAAGGATCGTCACTGGAGATACATTTGTATACAATGTAATGTACAAGCTTATTAAATAAAAAAAATCAGTACCCAGATGTTTGGAGTGAATCTAGACTATTTTTGGGGGAAAATTGGGTAGATATCAATGATAAATCAACATACTCTATTTGAAGATGTACAAATCTTCTTAGAATTACTGAAATTTACAGTCATTCAAATCAAATGCACCTGAATTGAGCACAGATATTATGCAAGACCATTTTTAAAGTACCAGTATTTTTGGACTTAATCGGAAATAAATGGTACACAATGAAACGATTGTAGACGTATGCAAATAATTCAAAAGAGTACTCTTTATTGTTCACATTATTGTCCAACCAT